AGGCGAGCATTACACTGAATGCATAGTGGTAGCGACTGTTTTAACAACAGCAATAAGGTCTACAAGGCTATGTTAATGAGTGCTGAGGATAGCCTTTATATCCTTGACAAGCAGCACCCCAGCTACATCAGACGAGAGGGTTGCTACAACCCTTTAACTCCCCATCTAGCGGTATTATCACGTTCCGTTAGGGGTGTGAGGGTAACCCCTTCCTCTCGTCTTCATTTCTGTCTTAAGATAAGCCGAGAAGAGTATCTTTTTAAACCGTTTTTAGGGGCTTACATTGGCACAGCGCTGCGCCGTAATCTACTTGTCAATTCGACAAGAGCCTAGAAGTGTCTTGAGATCCCGGCGCAGAGAAAACTGTTATCGTTTTTGTTTCCACTTTATGATGGAGACGTTAAAGTCTTCTCGTTTTGAAAAATAGCCGGTTCATTCGTCTGCCTCGACACTGGAAATTATGATTCTGAAACATTTTACTTTTCTCTACATCAGGGATCGGCAAACTTTGGTCCTCGTTTGTTATATCTTTATTAGAATGTCACTGTGGTTTGTTTTAACGCGAGTTCTGAGATGCTCTGTTCCACTGAGTCTCACATTTAATCACCACTTTTGATTAATTGATCTTTTGTTATTTAACATCGCTGTTTCAACTGTTTCAAGTGAGATCAGGGGATCTTGAATAGTGAATAGTTGAGGGTGTGGAAGGCGATAGTTCTGTCCCATTGTTCGCGTGGAGAGGTTGAGGAAACGCACGAATAATATAAATAATTGTGTCGGTATACCTGTTCAGATCTAAACCCGCGACCTCAGAGGTACGAGACTGCAGCGTAATCGATACGCTAATCCGATGTTTGCTTAAGAGTACAAATATTCTTCCTTCAGACGAATGTAATGAGTTCGGTGACTTTTGGAAAATCAAGGAGCATGTCAGTCTTGGTTGAGGTTCACTTTGATGCGTTGCAGTCAGTATCCTGCCTCTGCCCGTTTTGAATGAGATTTTATAAAATTCGAAGGCTCCAAGCATCCCATCGAAGCGACAGTGAATTCGGGATAACTTCAATTTGCCTACACGCGCCCCCCACCTTCTTTTCTTTCCTTGTGTGTCGTCGCTGGAGGGTTGAGGAGGAAGAGGTTTGGGTTAGAATGAGCCCCTGTGGGAGAACGTCCAACTGATACAGAGTGGCCGGAGAGATAGAGGCGCAGATGTGCCTCGGAGACGCCAGATCGAGGGAGCAATTTGAAAGGCTGGCTATCCGCCCTCTCAGCGAGATCAATGCCGCAATGAATATCGGTTTGCTGTCCGTGCAGGCGACACGGACAAAACAGAACGTTGCTCGTATCTGCGCGTTACTGAATTCTTCGCTGTTGTCACCGACGGTAAGATGAAGTCGTCTCTGTACACAAGAATCGTGCCATGATCTGTACAAGTAAAACTTTACGCATTTCTAACTTCTAAACTTGGCAGAATTGAACGGTTTGCTTCTCTCGTATATCTCATTTACCCTCGAGGTGTGAACTGCCCAAAACCATTAAATTGTCTGGACGTAGGAAGGAATTAAAGAAACAAGAAAGTGAAGATTTCTAGGAAGAAGTGAGAAAACAGGAAGAAATACAAAGAAAATTAATAAATAAATTAGTTTTAATTTATAAAAATAATTTCTGTAATTTTTAAACCTAGTATTTTTTACATTTCTAAAATGTTGCGACTGAAACTTACTTTTAAATCGAGAGAAATGCTACCTCTTATTAATACTGGACAAACAGGTTAGGCCATGTAGCGAGGCTCAGATGACCCCCCCCCCAACCCCCCCCACCCAGAGACCTCTGCAGACTAATTCTGCAGCAGTTCCCAGTAATCAACTGCCATTGTCTAGAATTAACCCGGCAGACTGCTGAGCCGGATTACCATTTCAAAGTTGGCAAGCCTGCTACTACTGCTACCTTTTTTTTATTTGTAACATCTCTCCCCCTTTTCTCGTCATTTCATTTTCTCCTTCTCTTTTACCACTGTTGTCTCTCTCTCTGCTCAACATTTATATTTATTCTGTCTTTAATCCTTTTAGTCGGAGTAAGCATATTTCAGAAATCATCTGATCTGGCGAACTGGAGAAAGCTGTTGGTATTTTATCAAAAAAAACCCGTTTGTTTCGCCCAGTAGTCTGTGTCTATGCATTTGTTTAATTCTTACTCGGGACACAGGAAGGTTTTGTGAGTTCTACAGTTTCTTGTTTTGTTGAACATTGTTAGTTCGCTTAACATTTGTAAGGTGGCAGTACTAAGCTAGTGCAGCGACAGAAACATAGCTTGGAATATTGCCCCTCCAGATTCGCCTCTAAGGAAAAAGAAATTGAGCTCCTGGCAGCAAGACATATTTACAATTAGTGGTAAAGTTCCACGTACTCAGTCACACAGCGTGTCATTCGTTACGAAATAGTCACATTTGACAGGTCTACCTGTCAGATCGGAAAAACGTGGTTTTGATTTTTGCTTTATAATATACTTTTAGCACCGGCGACTGTACCTATGTTCCGGGTCTTGAACGCTTTGCATAATCTGCTGTTAAGTCCAAAGCTTTCATCCTTCAGCAGGGCAGCATTAATACAGAGTGCCCCTAAAACATGTATACACGCATTCAATGAACGAAATAAACACATTCTAATAAATTAAACCACTGCATACGTCAGCATTGGGACTTGGTGAATTAGCGAATCTGGTGTAGGTGTTCAAAATGACCACCGTCAGCTTCGTGGCGCAGTTGACAGCGGAGCGTAACTGACTTGACAATCGGCCACCGTATTATAATGTGTATACATCTTTTTGGGATTCCCTGAATACACAGAACCAAATTCCACGCCCCGAGTACTAGTGACAAATTACTTTTTTTAAACTTTTCGTTTGTTAAAATACACGCACTTATCGGAGAGAATCATGAAAGAGGTCAACGATCGATTTAATTTATACCGTTAGATATGATATTATCACTGATGGGATTCGTTCAAGTCAATGTGGTTTGCTTGTATTCATAAACGAGGCCTTGGAATATGTCTTGTCACCTAAACCGGACATGAGTATAATCACTCTGATTTCTATAGATCGGCAGAAATATGCCTTTGAAAACTGACGTACGAAATAAATTTAAAATTTAAAACGCCTCTATACGGCAAACCCTCGGACTCGTATTGTCGTGACCTTGACATAACACTGACCTGTCAGTGACATGAGTATTGCCACTCAGATTCCTACAGACAATATAATTAATATTTATTAACCTCTTGTGTCACACTGAGTATGACTTTTGGGTGACTGTACACATAGCTCTTATATGTTGACCTTTCACATGTAGTTTTAGCCTCATGAGTAATTTAGACCTCCTAATCTAAATTCTCAAAAAGTATTCAATTTTTTTTTCTTGTCTGCTAGTGGCATCTGTTGAAAGAGCTAACAAAGTTACTGATGACAGAACTTTTTCTTTCGTGTGTTGGCTCCATCCTATGAGATGCACACATTAAGTAATGTAACACAATAATCATTTCTGTAAGATGCAGAGTTAATCTACCTGAATAAGATCAAGAGAGTGCTAATTATGGTTGCTGGACGAAATGCCTAGTGACGTGAACTGACTGACACAACGAAAATGAAGTGCGCAGACATAAGCCTTGGAAGAAACTGTTTCGTCACTATTTACTTTTGATAATTCAGCTACAAGTTTCACAATTGTGCAAACTCTTTAATTAATTCTCGAGATAACAAATCCCTAAATTCATAAATGTTATTTTACAAAATATATATTTTTTTCGTAATTTAGATAATTTTCAAATTAAATGTAAGAATTAATCTTTAAAAACAAAACAAAATTTTAACAGGAATAATTTAATAGCCTGGGGATACATAACAGCTTACCCTGTAAGCACCAATCTACGTTCATATTCCACGACTGATATTCTCATGTAAACCATAAAATTTTTATCATCTCTTTAAATTAAATGTTTATACTGATGGATGGACAAATATTCCATTCATAAATGAACTCTGGTACGGAAATGTTCTGTAGCCTCACTTACCTTGAACCTACAAAAATGGGAAACATTTTATTTTTTCTGAATAATTCAAATTAATTTTTCAGAAGAACACAAAATAAAAGACTAAAACATAAAACTATAATTTATCTGTTATTTTGTAGAGGAGGGAAACTTAATCCCTCGTATTAAGGGAAGAACATAGATTCAAGGGTGTTTGTAAACGGGGTGCTGTCGAGGAATATTGGGACCAAAGAAGGACGAAGTGACAGAAGACTGGAGAACATTGCATAATAAGGAGCTTCATAATTTATACTATTCACCAAATATAATTAGGACGATCGAATCAAGAATGACGAGCAAACTAGATTGAAAATAACCATACCATATCTTAAGCCACTTTTGAGCTAAATAAGAATAAGCGCACACATTACTTTTTAGTTGTAAAAGCTTATGCCTACACAGGAAAGTGATTTAAGTACGTCAATTACAATTATCAGAGGAGTCCGTCTGATTTGTGGGAACAGCGAAAGATCAAAGACACAATCTTAACTTTACGGCTATTTCCAAGTAGCCTTATCTTTGTGAATATTTAAATGCAGTAACCCTCTTTGACACATTCATGGAAGGGGAACAGATTCCTGCTTCTGTGATTCAAAATTCTCACATTAGCCAGAGGGATAAATGATAAACATTTTTTTGAAAGCTGACAGCAAGGTGCGAAGTTTGTGTGTAGACGGGACAGTTCAGAATAAGATTTAAAAAACAAAGTTTACGTTGTGAAGTATAACTTGTACATCCTGTCTTATCAACGCACGACACAGATCACTGACAAGTCACTAATAATAAAAACACAACCCCATTTCTTTTTGGAAGCACTTTATAAGCAGTGTTTCTCAAATTCCTTAAATTATAATTTATTTTGGTTCAAGTGCCACACAACTTGTGCCTCTTTGGGCTTATATTACTAATATATTTATATTTAATTATTTTTGTTTAATTTATTTATACTTATCCCTCCACTATTTTTATAATAAATATATAACACACAACCTTCAAATAAACTACTTTTCTTTTACCGCAGCTCCACAGTACACAATTCAAGGAGCTCTTAAATGGAGCTACGAAGTGCCCATTGTTTTGCAGTTCAGTAAATCCTCATAAATCCACCGTGACATTTGCCACGTTTGGAACCGAGACAGAAGTTACAAAAGAAAGATGTGAATGACGTCAAATATATCACGAAATGGCATTTATCAAATTTCATACAACGAGCAAATACATTAATTACTACTGAAAGAATTTCAAACATCTCCACAAAAGGCAGAAACAAACTCTCTAAAGAAATAAATGAGTCATTACACGTACAGACAGGAGGACAGAGTAATTTTAATAACACTCCACACAGCTGCAAATGCACATACATGTAAGACTGGCAACATAAATGCTGACAAGATCAGTATTTCATTCACAAAAACGTCACGCTTCGCTAAATAAATACGTATAATATTAAATTTTCAGGTTTTTCAAATTGTCCTTATTCTTACAGTCCTGATCCAAAAATGGGCTCACAGACTAAAAACCACTGCACTAATAAAAGAAAAACACCTATTTAATTTTCATACCAAGCATAAAAATTTACTCAACAGAGAAGTGTGTGCGTCAAGTCACACGCATTTTGTTCACAACAATCTATGTTCCTACGAGGATCAACTTAATTTGTAACATAATTAAATTTTAAGACCATGTACATTCAAAAGATACAAGTCAGACAGGAACAGGCACATAAAAATGGGCAAAATAAGTTCAAAGAGGAAGGCAATAATGTTGATGTCTTTACACGAACTAACAGAACTTGAGTAAAGCTTGAACACAAATAACAATTGCAAGTTCCCATTATTATGGGTGAAAATAAATGACAATTACACCGAATAAACATGTTTTAACTGCCAATATGTCTTTCATAAAATCCCCACAAAAAGAAAATTTACGCTTTGAATTAAATGTCTGGTAATTTCATTTAAGAACTTCCATGATAATTCTCCCCCAAACATATCACTTAGATAGCGCGCTCCAATTCCCTTATTTCAATACATGATGAACATCTCGTATTGTCATTGTTGAAAAATTTAAGCTCTGTAATACCTTGTTTAAGGATTTCAAAATAAAAATATGCAAAAATTTTCCAAAATAAAAGCAAACTTTTAAAGGAGGAAGAAGAACATAATAATTGAGTTGAATGCTACTACATAAAACTACAATATTTCACAGTAGTCTAATCACTACTTCGGATAAATGAGGATTTACAGTTTAGTTAAGTAATACAAGGATCAAGTTGTACGGTGCTATATCATAATCATGAGAATAATAAGTAGCTGAACCATTTCCACAAACATTGATGCTAGTGGTGTGAAGTGATCCATGTAGGCGGGGCCACAGTTCCTGTGACGACACGCTTTACCGTTATACGTTCTTCCACGGCTCCTGCTGCGTTGTAAAATACCAGCAAGTCCTCTATGGCTTGGTCTTCCAACTGAAATACAAAAAGTTATCATCATGGTTACAGATATATATTTGTGGAAACAGTGAACGAAGAAATCCAAAAATTACACGTTACTTAGAAGGGCAGTAACGATTATCTTTATGCTACATAATTATTAAATCAAAGTAGAACACAAATAAACCTGAGTTAGTTGGAGTGGCTTTGATCTCATCCGACTCCAGTTCTCCCTCTGCTTCTTCTCATCAGCCACAATGTCCAAGAAATTCACAACTGATGAATTTTCACAATGCTGCTGTGGTGATTTGCAGTTGTTCTCTGCCCCTCGGAGCCACGGGTTGGGTCCAGATCCTGGTGAAGTGCTCAGCTGTTGCTGCTGTTGCGGGGGTACAGAGCCGTGTGGAACTCGGGTCAGCTGCATCTCCTGCTTCATGATGTCCAGTAAAGAGAGGCTCATACTGGCTGGTGGGTCGGTTCTAGAAACGTTTCCCCAGGCTGGTGTAGACTGTACAGATTCAAAAGCTGTCGTTTCTGGAGATCCAACCTGATACTCAGCTGCAAGTTTCTTGCGTTGCTTTTGAGATAATTTTGTCACCTTCTTGATTTCACTGGAATATGTAAACATGTACGAGCAACTCTCAGTTTACAAACGTTCGATTTATGAACATTCGCTATAACGAATGTCACAATTCATTCAAAATTTCTTAAAGTCGCCAATAGATAGAGTTCCTTATAAAACGAAATGACAAACGTATAGTGAACATAATTGTAAGATTTAAATAAATAAACTTTTAAAAAATGTATTTATTACAAAAACTATCAGAAAATTATTATCTGATAATTGCACTGAAAAAAAAGTAACTATGAAATCTTCTATAAAAACATATTTTAAAAGAAGTGGAAAACCCAGCTGTTTCTTCATTATCAGATGCCCTTCCATCTACTTCATCTGCACCTAGAGTCACTTATGTGGAAAATATTGAACTCTGATGAAGATATTGATGAGTAAAAGTTGAATACATATGTATGTACATATATTATGTTAGTACCCATTTTCTTTATTTCTATTTTGGAACTCTTTATGGCTCTAATTAAAATTAACAAGTACAATATCTTGTTTTATTATTCTTTTCTTATTTTATTTTACGTTACGTATCGTATACGATAAACCATAAAGCATACATACATTATAATAAAACATATTGTATAGACCATTTGATGTTTAGCGCATGGTTTTAATGCTTTAAAATGGCTGCTAACGTATATGACATGTATCATAAAAGCTCAGAAATGCAAGATACACATAACGAACAAAAATGTAAAACGAACAAACTCCTGGAACGGAATTCGTTCGTAAACCGAGAGTCGCCTGTACTGTTACTCCAGATTTCATGTCTATGAGCAAACAGATTATAGTGTCATAGTCAGCACAAAACAACATTCAATTATTAAAATATAACTGTATGCTGAATTACCGACATCAAGCACAGCCTCTCACCTGTGTTTCTGTCCTGGTGATTTGTTGTGATCATGATGAGTTGGAGGGGAAGATCTTTGTAGTTCAGGAAAATCTGTCTCTGTCATGGTTACTATGCTGATAGGAGACGATGTCTCCACCAAACTTGTGCTCTGGTGCTGTCGAGACACAAGTTTAGTGAAAGAGTCAGGAGAAGGTTGGACAGGCGTTTCCCTAGCAGCTGAGACAACCTTCAGTCGAGCCTTCACAATCTGTTGCTGCTTGTCATAATGGTTGATGATCTTGACCCACGGTGACTTGGTTTTTTGAGGGATGGGAGGTGGATTTGTATCTGGGCTGGTGGAAAGCATCATGTTATTGAGGGACAAGGTGAAGTCATTCTCTGACTGGTTTATGAGCTGGCTCTCATCATGCTTCTCAACCAATTCACGCATGTCTAAATCTTGGTGATCTATAGGCGTCTCACCGCCCCATGGGTTATTTGATCCCACCAATTCTTTGTGGGTTCGAGAACTTGCTCTCTTGTTGCTGCCGCCATCACCTGTACTGGATTTGCGATATCGAATCTTCTTCTTCATTGTTTTAATGCCTTTCTTCAACATGGCAAAGTCTTTGAGGAGGCAGAACAAAATAAAAGGTTATAAATATTCAAAAGGTCATTAAAAATTACCACTACTGAAAGGAAGCTAGGCAAGAGCAAAAAAATGTATTACAATGCAATTTTGCATTGCTTATTAGCCTTAACGTTCATTTATCACATATATAAACTTTCAGTTGGTTCACTACAGGTATCACACTCCAAAGAGTGAAACATTACTTCTTCTTGTATCTCTTTACATATTCACCATATCAAATCTTTGATTCCCACAAACTACTTTCATTAAGATTAATGTTAATATTATCTTCTCATCTCCTTTTTGGTCTTACGCTTTCCCACAAAATATGCCGAGATCAGACAAGCAACAACAAACACTTCTTTTCCTCAGACAGTCAACATACCTTCATCACTGATGCTGCTATCATCTTCATCCCATGGAGAGATAGGATGTGCATCATTAATAGCGTTTAGCAACTCATGGCTTGGAGCAGTGGAGTACGGCGTAACTATTCGGTGCCTCACGGTTGGGATGAACTCACAGTAGTACTTGGTCAAGTCTTCAAGCAGCTGCCTGCTCACAGACTCTAAGATTCTAGAATAATGTTAAAGTTACTGTAGCGCCACATTACATCCATCACAAGCAAGTTAGCTAAGTGGTTGTGCAGATGACTTGTGTTTGCAAGTATCCAGACTGAACCTCATCCAGTGCATCTGTGATCCATCCTTTCTAGTTCACGTCCTTGCCTCATTCACAACGTCAATTACATTGCTGAATAGATGACTTTGTGATATTATTCAGAAAGTTTACCATTCTTGTCAAGAAGTTAAATACTTATCATACTCACAAAAGCCAGCCATTGGCAGCCTTTCGTGAGTCCCGAGTCCATTTCCTTACACCTTATTTCTTTAACATCCATTTTAATATTTCCCTTCCAACTAGTCCCTTCCCTTAAAAGTTTCTGACCAAAATCTTGTGTTTCTCACCTCCTGCATGCGTACTACATGCTCCTTCCACATAGCATTCCTTGATTTTAATAACTGAACAGTATTAGGTGACAAGTGAAAATTATGAAGCTCCTCATTAAATTACATGACTGATGACATGCCTACGCATTCACTTTTTGAGATATGTCTTGAATTTGATTCTAAAGTATAAGCTCCAAAATTATAATCTAAACCAAGTCATCAGTGAAGATCCTTTGAAAATTAAGAAACATACCTAGCTTCAAGGACAGCTGGAAGGTTAAGCGATATGTACTGAAAGCAACACTGCTTAAGTTGGTCTGCGTTGTAAGTTCCTGAGAGCTGGAGCACTTCTGCTACATTGCGCAATGTAAGCAAGTTTGCCAATGCAACCTCTGCAGCTTCCTTGAGTCGTAGCACAAACAGTTGATCAGCCACTACCAAAACATTGCTCAAAAACTCCAGGTCCTTGGATGTAAGAACACTTGGTGCCGCATCAGTATACAGAAAATCCAGCAGAAGTTCCAGGATGGCATAAGGCAGTGGAAGACTCATCACACAGGCATTATTACCACTCATCTGAAAGACACAAGTTACTTACTGAGGTTATATGTAATATGCATGGAAGAAGTAAGAAATGCATAAGAAATTCTGGATGGAAACCTCATGGGAAGAGGCTATTAGTGGAGATAGGTATAGACAGGATGATACTATTGCAAGAAGTTCTGGATGGAAATGATGCCTACTTTTCACCAGAGGATTCATTTCATATGTGAGATTCGAGGTTCTCACAGCAGTGAAAATTTTGATTTTCTTCTGAGCTGACACTGTATGGATTCATCTCAGAGAAACATACTGTCAGCATCTTCAAGGTTGTTCTCAAATGTCATCATTGTGAACTTGGTCTTATCTTCTGTATCCCACTACACGCTAAAGAAATCTCATTTATGCTGTCCAGTATTCCAACCCATAAAGCAGCATGGACACAGCCATTACTTCATAGAACTACAAATTAGTACTCACACTATTTAGTGATCCATTTCTGTGTAACTATTACAGATTCTAATTACATTAAATTTGTCTGATATATCCTCTAGGTTTCACACTTCACACTTTTATTTGTAATAGTCAATATATAAACAATATTTCACAAAAATTTATAAGTGTAGAGTCCAGTGAAAGAAATTCATATCAAATTCATACTCAACAATAAAAAATGTGCAAATCACTGTACTATTACATTTAGAGTATACAGATAGAAACAATGATAAATTCCAGAAATTGGTGAAGGAACAGACTTTTAACCTTAGGATTACTAATGCATATTTTCTTACATGGGTAGTCTGGAGTTAAATGGGCCCACAAATAATTACTAAGCATTTAACCCTCCGAAGCACAAGATCATCTAAGGAATATATAAACATTAAGTGCCTACTCGAAGCAAACACAATTTATCTCCATTAAAAATAATAATTTGAAAATGCTGTTTAGGGAAATAATCGTGGATTATTCTGAAAATCATACCAAACCACATTGGTCAAACATAGCCCAAAGTAACTTCTTATAAAAGCTCTTTAAACCAACACGAAATCCTTCAGTTTTAGAACGCATCCTTTGCTTCCACCCACACACGTTTGTAACAGCCAAAATACTCTTCCAGTCAGGCTGTTTCACAGCAGACTACAAAGAATGGAGGATTCAGATGAGGTAAAATTCACATAGAAAACAAGAATATAATGGTCTCGCTCTCTCTCTCTCTCTCTCTCTCACACACAAATAAGCAACAATCACTAACCTCAACCCATCTTCCAGACAACATACTACGAAAGTAGTCTAATCTTGCAACGAGTACACATCTGTGGGCACGCAGCTCATTTCCGTCCTCACTGCGGATCCTCACATCATACAAGTTCTGATAATCCTCTCTTTTCAAGAATGGGGCATTCAGGCGTGAAGGTTGACAGCCTTGCTTCATCATAATGTGACCGTCCTCATACCTGATTATGGAGAGAAGAGCAGTTGAAAATTTTCATCGATCAAAGACGACTAGACAGCAGAAGGAAAAAGCGATGATTTTTCTCACAGAAAAAGGAGATTAATTGTTCAGTAATATATTTCAGTAGAGTTGGACCAGTAAAGATTGAAAAATCATCAGTAGTTTAGATTTTAATTGTTAAACAGAAAGTGGAGGTACGTCTCAATGCATCCCATCCTCAGCATAATATGGAGGTGAGTGGTTAGCTTCACTCCTCAGCCAAATAGTCCGCAAGCAAAGAATCTCAGTTCCCACTAGACTCATTTTCTTGTTTTAATTACCTACGGACATCAAATGGTTACCACTGTACCTGATTTTTTCCAATTCTGAGCTAAGAACAGTTAATTTAAATTTTCTGGCAGCTTCTTGAACCAGTCGGAGAGGATTGCTGGTGGAGGTTGTCACAGCCTTCTGCTTCGTGCTGTTTACTTCGTTGTTATTGCTATGATGGTAGGTTTTCTTACAATAAACTTCAAATGCAGACACTGAATTTGGGTCATTCAGTCCAAGAATGTTGTCAACAAGATCTTCTTTACCCCTGTTCGTGTTATCTGTATCATCCTCAGACATCATTCTACGGAACAAATGAATACAATTATTAGTTCTGATGTTAACTCAAACATAGGCATGTAATACTTGTAATATTTCAGTTGAAGACAATCAGGGAAGTAAAAAATTGGTATAACAGCAAAACTTTCCCATTATTTGAATTTTTTTACTCAAATCCCTAATGTTCCACCATCTCCAAAATTAGGAACCAGGGAATTATTTGACCACATTAGTAACTACCACTTGGAATGTAGTTTAATAGAAAAGGTTCTGGTTTGCCATTGGCTGAATCTGTGATCTGCGAGATGTAAATGAAATTACAAGCCACACACTGGAAACATTTTTATATAATTAAAGGAAAACCTGAAAATACCTTGTGCCATGATCAAAACTTAGGTGTCATCGGAGTTACTCACTTGATGGGGCATTCACCGGTGTGAAGCAGAGAGCAGTCATTGGTGTAGATAAACTGCAAGACCTGTCTGAAAACATCAGGTCTCATGCCTTTCAACTCAATCTCATTAACATCAAAAGTTCCACTCTGTTCCACCATACGTTTTGCCAAAACCTCGCAACGACTTGCCACAATGAATTGATGAGCTGGAAATCTGACTGTGCCAACCTGATTAAACAAGATATGTATTTCAGTTACTAGAATCACCTTTAAGATGTAAAGATCCACTAACGGATTTGATATAATTAAGTAGTACTATAGAACAGTATTATTCTGTAACAAAACAAGAAGACAAAACTCTGAAAAGAATAATAAAATTTTACTAAATGAGTACACAATATACGATCACAGACTTTTAGTTGATTTTCAAGTTTTGACTATTTTCACTTAATTCAGTTAATTAAATGTCTTCTTTGGCTCAGGCATCTAAGTGTAGTGTAAACAAAACTTAAGTTTTGTCCAACTGGAAAAGTCTGTGATTTGTATGTGTAAACCTGCATACAATTTCGTGAGGTGAACGGGACTAACAACCTTCATTATCCATTCTCACGTGGATCAGCCGGCCATTCATCACAGTAGCAAGCTGCCACTCCATTAAACCCCAGACTTAAAGCCTGGCTAGCTGAGTGATTTAAACCCATCAACCAGCCAATTATGTACTGATGCACTGTCTCAGCATCAGTCTGAGACAGAGTAAAACCATGAAATCCTCACTTAGGATGGCTGGTAATCTGGCTGAGACTCAATCTGGGGTCCTCTTGAATGTTAACTTAGATAACTACCATTATACCATCCTACTTGTTCCAAAAGTGTAAGGTCTAGATCAAGCAGGAAGTATAACCTTCATCACGTAAAAAAGTCATGCTTCCTCCAATTATTACAAACCAACGAGGGAGACAAAACACAACCACATTTTCCTTTTGAAGCCAAATCTCATCTACATAATATTTAAAATTCAGTCCGCACCTCAAAGAAAACACCTCCGTAACAAAGACCAATTGGTTAATGCTGTTTTTTGGAAACAACTGTTTTTCCCCCCTTCAGAATCATACAAAACCCATAAATATATTCTGTGGGGAAAAAGGAGAGTTCTTCTTCTTCTCTTGTAATCAATCCTAGGATTGATTTACAGCAGCTTGAGCTGCTGATACTTGGGAAATCCTGAGGATCTTTAATGCGGTGGATTCCCCTTGCCTTCCGCATCCTATGCTGTTGACTCATCCAGGTTCATCCGCCTTTAGGGGTGATTTCTCACCCCAAGGGCATGAGGGTGCCCTGAACGTCTACCCGCTCATCAACCCTCCGAAGAGGCTGTTGGCACTTGGTAGAGGGGGACCACTTACACCGGTGGTCACTCGGTCTGCGGACGCAGTTTAACGTCATGCCCGAGTATTAAAGTAGATGGTACATAAAGTTACCACTAGGCATTAAGTTACCTGAAACACAACATCATGAATAGCATCATCTTCACTGGCTTCTTGTAGCAGGCTGTCTAAATGCTGTTTCATGCCCGATGTTTCCATTTGTGGCACTTCAAGCAGACAAGCTATCGGATGAGCCTAGAACCACAAACACACTCGAGTAATGTTTCAAATAAAAGTTGTATATCTTAATGACATTCATGTATGTCAGATAAAACTTTTTGTACAATATGTTATTGTGGGGGGGAGATAATGATCAATCTGTTTCATATAAAGTTCAAGCCAAAATAAAATCTGCTTGTAGAGTAGTTTTGGAGATGCCATAGTAGATGGACACACATATATCCTACATATTACGCCTTCAGTTTAAGCACTTCATCTGAAGAATGCAAAAAATTTCAAATCAGCTAATATGTAACAGTTATGTAAGCCATGACTCATGAACATTCATAATGAAGTTCTGACCTGTACAATTGCAAAATTTCTCCCTTTAGGGTCAGATGTAACGGCAACAGCTCGGTGCACATTAGGAATGCGTTTAACTTGTACTGCTGTGAACTCTGTACCAGATCGTTGCCCCCTGAGTTCTCCCTGGAATGCCTCACCATCTCGAGTAACCAGAAGCAGGTGTCCACGAGTCTGGGCAGCCACCATAGTCAACACCAGAGGTCTCCCCAGTAAAAACGTACACCTGTACAGGTTTTTTTACATTTGTTTACATAGTTAATGCCCCAAAGTTTGCAGAAAGAGAAGACTAATTGTGAAGTATTTCAGGTCCTAAAAGAATAAGCTTTGAAGTGACATTCAAGAATGCAGGATCACTTGATTTGCAGCTTATGGGAAAACGTGCTAAATTTCTTTACTAGCAACTGAGTGCCTAGCACTCCTGCTTTGTATTAGGAAGATCCCAGGTTCAAATCCTGGCCTGGAGACTGGTCATCCTAACTGAGACTTTTTGTGGTATTCCTGAGTCCCTCCAGCCAAATGTGAGCATAGTGCATTAACTTAGACCACACCTACTTCTCTCCATATCCTTTCCAATTCATCATTCATTAATCATGCAATCATTCAATGCTACAGTCTGAGCCACAGACAGTACCATTCAGTAAAAAAACAATTGGAAAAAAAAATTCATCACTTTTTCATTGTACCTATCGGCTAGACACATAGTAATTCAGGTGTCTACTGAAGCTCTGCTGCTCACCGTAATGCTCATTCATTTTCTCACAAAATAAAAAAAATGCTCTTGTGGCTTTCATCTCACTGTAGCCATTTCATCTGATGAGGAATAAATGTCACAATGCATAAATCAAGTTAACAAGGTCAAATCCCAACTTATGAACCTTGCTATCATATGGCAACATATTTCTAATTCTTAATTTTCTTAGCATTAACGTGAACAATAAATTTAACCGGGTGAATGCACCTTGAGAGCTGTTGAGTGACACTGTCTTGCCACAAGAAAAGTTGTCCCCTGTTGTCCAATATCAACACTCGAAGCTGTTGTTCCTCCTCCCTGTTCTCGCTATTGCCCTGTTGACCTTGATCTAACATTGCTGTATCAAGATGACCTCCAACAACAGCCAGTTGTACCAGACCCACTTGTCTGCAAAATATGATAAGTTCTTTCTAAATTATTTTACTGATGGAGATCTCTTATTTACTGCATATATACATGTATATGTTCAAGGAAGAAATGGCTGATGACAGCAATTTCAATAAAACAGATCAACCACTGATCTTCGTACTGAATTAGATTAAGCAAAAAAGAAAAACACATTTATCAGAAGTGTTCTTAACCTTTATTGTCCATGTAATGCAGGTTATGAACAGCCCAGCTGTATACTGCTAAACTGTTACAAAGACCTGAAGTCTGTCTGGCAACCCCACAATACAGGGACTTATATTCTCTATTCCTATATGATGAAGGTCAAGACACTGAACAGTTTAAATTTGAGGGATGTCTTTTAATTTATTTGTTTGTGTTTTAAAAAGTATCACCAGTGTATCTGAAACTAGTCAAAATTAGAAATCTTAAGAAGAAGTATCTTTAGTTAAGCTTTCTTTGTATAATTCTATTAATATGTTTAGTGAAATGTTTGTGTCCTATGATAGAAGTGCCAGTATTGTGTGTCACTGTATATGACCAGAAAAAAAAACCCTACTCTCGCCAATGCCTTTATCTTCCCTTTAGAGTTTCTATCAAAACTCTGTATGCATTTCATGCTTCAATATTGGGGCTACATGTCCCATCCATTTTATTATGCTTGACTTAATAATGATCCTGACAAGAAATTGTGAACACATTGTGACAGGAGTCATCTTAATACCTGGTTACAATTTTACGGCACTGAAACTTGTGCAGCAGGTAGATATCAGCGCCTGGTGCACTACTGGTGCCCCCTGCTGCTATTCCTCGCTCTACAGCCACAACAGTAGCACCATCACTAGCTGCCACTTGTACCACTTTTGCAGCCTTATGAGTGAGTGTTGACACCTGAACCAACAACACATTCTGTCTTCATTCAAGTCTTTAGCAATTTCTAGCTGTGACAAGTCCTGAAATTGCATTTAATATAATATCTCAAGAATGGAAAACAATTCATCACAGAAAAGGTTTGTCTTCTTCATATTCTGTTATAATTTTCATTGTATACAGGCCAAGGGAAACTTTTAATTTAAGCTGTTATTAAGGTGTAGTCATGGCCACTTTGAGTCACATGCCAAAGTTTGTTTGGAGACTTACAAAAATCCTGAAATGCAGCAATCATTTCAATCAGTCAGGACAACCAGTCCTGGTTAGGATATGAACTAGGTACATTCAAATAAAAGCAGAGTAACCAAATTACAGAAAAGCAATACAGCAATACATAATCTTACTCTCTTCTTATAAAATTGTACCTGTAGTTCTTTCAACAGTTACTGTTAAGTGCAGTGCTCCATACTTGCGTTCTTTCCATATGACCAGTGTTTCACGACACTGGTACTAACCTGTCTGGGTAAAACAATGGTAGAGCTAGGTCCCTTTGAATGGCCCAGCTGCCCTGTATTCAGGCCGCAAGTAAGCACAGCTCGCTGACCCCAGATAACAGTGTGGAAACGAGAAGCACAGATTCCAAGAACTGAATCTCCGGCTGCATGTACAGAGCGTGGGGTCAACTGTCGAGGTAACAAGAGACTGGAAGGGGGTGGTGAGTGACCCAACTGATGATATGAGTTGAGACCACATGACCACACCTGAAAGAATTACACAACTATCTGAGATATGAAGTTCCCACAGTGGTAAAAATGTTGATAGTGGTCTTCTGAATTGTGATGTTGTGTGGGCTTGTAGGTGGTTACCAATGTCCATCTTTGACATAGGCAATACATTCCTCCTAAACATTAACAGCCATGCACAAAACCACATGGCATCACAACCCAGACCAGTATCAACAATATCACAGTTGTTTTGAGCCATATCTTAATCAGTAAACTGCAAGGCTGCAGCAGACATGGTGTCTGGGGTTCAATTATGATAGGTGCATTGGGATTCATCCTTTCATCATCATGTCACTGTCCAGGATTGTTCGGCACCCAAGTCTGCTATTCTGTACAACTGACCCTTCTGGAAGGGCAGTTGACCAAAAGCCAAATACTCAACTCCATCTAGTGCTGAGATTATGAACTCATGGAGCTTAGATATGCTTACACAAGTACCTTAAATTTTTACAATATTTATAATTTTTAAGTCTCCCAAGCATATCTGATCTGTAAAAGGCAATATGAATTATAACAACAGATTTTATTATATAAGCTGAGAAAAAGGGTAATTGATAGAATTGATTTAATAACTATTATCAATTTCACTAATATTCCAATACAATACAAAAGCTTTATATATATATATATATATAGTCACAACTAAGTTGCTTGGTAATTTCAAGCAAACTATCAACCAGTCACAAAAAAATCTTTCTCACTGGGGTAGTTCCTTCCACTACATTTCTTCACGGAGAAACTGTACCTAATTATGTTCGTATATTTCTGCAGTATTTATTATGATATCATATTATATTTACTAATTAAAGAATCATTTCTAAACTTACAAATGAATGTCTGTACTAACAAGTTAATATTGTGCCTTTATCACATGTAGTACTATTTTTAACATACATTTACTATTTCTTCCAACTGAGTTATCAAATTTACACAAAAACTTTCACCAGAAGTTCTCAAAGTTTATGTGGCTTACTGTCCCATTTTCCATGAGAAAGACAGTGTGATCCCGCCCCACACAGGCCACGGTGCATGAAACAGAAGATCCATCAGGGCTGTGGCTTCCAGAGTTCTGCAGGCGCACTGCACAGGGTGCAAGAACAGCTACTTCTGAACCCAAACCCAACCTTCCACCCTGCCCATGTCCACAAGAAAACACTCTTCCATCATGTGACACAAACACAGAATGGAACTTGTGCATTGCTACCTAAACAGACAACAAAATTATTACTAGTGGGTTTAAAAAAGGCATTTTTCTGCATTTCCAATACTGGTGTATACAAGTACCATGCAGTAATAAATTAAAGAGCAAGTATTCATAATAATTTGGTCACAAATGTACAGAATTCTGTCACCAAGCAGTGCTACAAAACAAGATGAAATAAGAGTCAATTTTAAAGGGTATTGACTGAACCAGTGATTGAGGTTAGCTCTTACTATCAGACCCAACTGAGTAGGTGCCCCTCCTGCCTTTTTAACTTGAGGACGGAAGCAGAAACAGCTTCCAAAACGTAATGTTCTTTCTAAAAAACACAGATGATGGACATAGTCCAAAAATTTAGTGATCCCAAACGATGAAATACACTTCTCATTAAATGATAAAAATGTCTGAAATTATTATTTCAATGTAAACAGGCACTTATCAGTAAATTTCTATACTACTCACATGCTTATATGTATAATAAAATAGCTTATTCAGTAACTTATCATTTAAAGTTAACGACTTGCTACCAGCAAGGACTAGAACTATCAATTTTTAACTGATTAAATGATGAACCTTTAACGTAAATTTTATTTCATATTAAATCTTCAGATAGTCACACTCCAGGATACACTGGACTTCTTCGAATGAAAAAATCTTTCACCATGTCTATGTCAGTTACATCTAAGGATCAAGAAACAAAATATAAGTATGTATGTCTTTTTCTCTCATTTTGAGTTTTGTACAAAGCTATATAAAAATACTTTACCTGTTTGATACTTATACCCTGCTTTCTGAAGGCATCCAGTAGCTCTGGCTGTGAGCGACTCTGTTCATTTCCAGTTCCTAGACTGTAGTTATTATTTGTCCCCCACACATAAACTTCACACAGATTTTGACTACTAAATTCAACAATCGGTGGACGATCCTTCATTGCATGATCAATTGGAGTCAGACCATCACAATCTCTTATTGCCATGCTTGCTCCCATCTGTAATGGATGATTGAGATCAATATACAGTAATCCCCAAACCATTTCTTAACATTTTCAAGTCTCAGCCATCTTGGGTTTTCAAATTTCAACCAAGAACTACAGGCATTTAATTTCCTAACTAAAACTAAAGTGGCAGACCATTTAATATCTTGTTTTCATTAACTGTATGAAATTAATAGAGAACGTTCATGTAGTGGTAACACTCTTGGACTTTCGTTCTGTTTCGAAAATTGGTCAGTTTATCAGTCTTGTGACTGAGGTTGCTCAAGATTTCCCCTCACACTCTTGAGGTGCACGTGAAGATATTATCTTCAAATAGCCAATGACCATCCAGGTAATTGTCCCAGCTCAGTCATGATCATTTTAACACAGAAGTTGGAACAGCATTGTTAAATAACATAAAAACTGCCAATATTTTGGTGCCTATGAATTTTATCAATACTGCATTATGAATATCAGTGGTACTACAATTTTAACAATTTCACTACTCCTGAAAGGCTACCATGCTGGCATGTTTCTATGTATACAACAGAGCATGTTCTGATTACTAGTTGCTAGTACCTACTTGCAGATGAACAATTCATTAAAATAGACTGGTGTAATAATAGCCTCAAAGAAGAATCATTACAAATTGGGATAGCTCAGTCAGTAAAGTGAACAGCCATGTGTCAGGTGACCAAGGTTCAATTACTAGTAGAATTTTTTATTATACCCCTTTGCCAGGGGCTCTTTCCCCATGAACAAATTGGACATAGCAAAACGTTTATCAGTTAAATCTATTTTGTGCCATGACATGGATTGCATGAAGAAGTACCGGGTCTACAATTTATGCTGTAACGGCCTTGCTTGCATTGCGTGCTCGGCCGAGTGCACTGTTGGTGTGGGATAGAGATAGCGTGTTATTCCCGTGAGTCACAGGCGAATCAGTTTCATTGCGTCTCTCGTCGCGGATTGACGTTGATAATATGGTGTACATTTCTTCAGAAGTCATTCCCATTTATTATGTGGGACTTATTATTATTTTAATAGTTATGTTATATTGTCCTTTGTCAAACTTGTTTTTCTTTTATAAAAAATCACTATTTTCTTGCCAAAGGACAGTTATCAGTACTATTATTTATTCAGATATATCTGTCAGATTAACTTGTACACAATAGAACTAAATAAACTACAAATACATAATAAATAAAATTCAATATCATGTAATGTAATGATCATGTAAAATTCAGTATTCTCTTTATTGTTACATACAGAGCTGATAAAATTATTGACACCCAACACACTGGCCAGTATCCATACATCAAACAATGAACAGCAACAATTCAAATCAACAAAGTCATGGGGAATAAAAAAACTTGTAACATGATGACTGTGGTCAGTGAATAACTGTATTATTTAATTGATTGTAACATTTGAATAACTATTTGTAGGTGAAAAGATTAACTTTATAAGTTCTTAACTTCAATAGTGTTTTACTTGCAATAAATAAGAAAGATGTAAATTTTTTGTTATTTTCATTTCAAAGGCTTGTAATACAGCTTTGATACCACTGATACTCAGAGGATTTTTAAATAAGATACATTACTTAATCATTATCATATCTTAACAGATAAGCAGCAAATTAAAGGCTTTCTATGCCACATAAATTCCTGCTATATTAAGAACTGTTTATGAGCACAACAGCTGTGTTCACCTGCAGTGCTTGTGGGAATGATGTCATAATTGTCAAGGTCACTAGCTTCAGATCCCCTATCCAAACCTGTTGACATGCTAAAATATCATGCATTCGTCAGCTTGCACTTCAAACAATTCACTAGTCGCCAACAACAATGAACAGAGTCCTTCTGATAGAACATACCTCTTTTCTTGAGGCTGTTCTGTAACTTTTTCTATGTCAGTCATCCCTTCGATCTCCAAATATTCCCCTTAACACTATGATCCCACACAATACAAATTTATGTTCTTCCCTTAGACAAAGAGACTAATTTTCACATGCATATATATATATATATACACAGTAAACTTATAGTTTTAAAAGATTTTAATCATTATATTTATAGAAGACACAGGAACATAAAAGAATCTGAAACAAACAAGAATATGCATTACCTGAATAAACCAATTTCATAAATACCATTTTATCAGTGTCACTAACCTTTATTAGATCAGTAGCTACATGGATCTGGCCATAGAAAATACTGCGATGAAGAGCAGTATAACCAGACTCTATGTCACGCACATCAATACTGGCATCTGCTCGTCGAACTAACCAACGGACAACAGCTCCGTGTCCACACGATGCTGCTAGATGCAGCACTGTGCGTCCTGAGGAATCAGTTATGCGACCACATGTACCACATAGCCATCGCATGTATGCCATCAGGAGAGGCCCTCCTGCCCTCATGGTAGCAGCTGCAGCCAACTGGCCTCCATGTTGCACTGACGTGCATCTTCCCACAACACACTCACGTTCAATCACATTCATCTCTTCTTTCCTGTCTTGTGCAATACCCAACACCTCTTTAATTCTTCTTCTCTTTTCTTTCGAAGTAAACCAGCCAAAGATATCTTGTGAAATATGTTTTAAATTAGGCCTTGGTCTTCTTAAGTCACTTTCACCACAAGAGTCTTCCTCAAACAGCTAGCGTTGAAAATGATTCCAATCTTGAACCTTGGTATGTGTTGCCTAGTGTTATGCAATCTTTTTGCTTCAAATAAATGTGGAGATTCTTCTCAATTCTGTTATCTTAGCTTCTGAAGCAGCTTGCAACAGACAGATGCTGTTTGTGAAAAACTCATGTATGTGTTTGTCCTTGTTAATTTTCGTCTGTCATAGGTACAGCAGTGGATCCCTTCACACCACCTATCAAGCTTAGCTTCCATGATAACATATCTTCAAAAATATGGACATACTGTTAATCATGTGTAGAAAGTACATGATATATTTGCCGGCATAACCAAAACCATATATTTTACTATGGGTGCAACAAACCGTGACAAATTTTGTCTTAAAGAACAAATACAATTCTTATGTTTCCTCTCTTTTCATCTGTGTGTGGCAATAAACAGGCATTTATATATAAAAATAGAATATAGGTAATTTTATATTGATTATTATGTACATATCTATACAAAATGGGGTTTGTGCATTGGTATAGGCACCCCTACAAAATTCAGTCTTTCATATGCTATCAAATCAAAATCCAAGGCATTACACTTCCGCAACTTCTGCAGCTTGTGACGATATCTCCTTGAATTGGTAATGTTTGATATGATTTCATACACCAACAATGTTCTGGACACTTTAACAATTCTGCTGTTTTAATCACAGTTGGAACGATCCTTCTTCAGGTACAGTCTTATAAGCACATTCACTGTCCAGCACTTGGCACAGCAAGTTGCCCCCTCACTTCCCTTACCCCAATTGGGGCAAGAGATATGAAACTCACTTAGGCAGCCATAATAGAAAAAGCTTTAGCCTGGAATAAACAGTAAAAATTGTGAAGATGAATCATACATGTTTTGACACTACAAGCAGTCAGTATTTAATGGAGCTGGAAATTTACCAAGAATAAGCTGCATACACATTTTTACCTGCATTATATATAATTTGTGTGTATCTTCAATTTACAAATCTTATAATACACAACATGAGAATGTAGGAGTTGTATGTATGTTTAAATTGAGGTATTTCAAAAGATTAAATAAGAGTTTACAACCAATTTTCATATGCAATTAATATTGATACATGATTTTCATATTTTCAAGATTTCTTCACTTAGTTCTGTACAGAATATCCTCTTTTCTTCTTTTCTCAATGGATGTAAATTGCATCCTAATCTGAGAGTATAAAAACTTGTCAGACTATTCTAATTAATTAGTCTTTTAAAATGTGGTTGGCTACGTAAGTGTGTAACTGATTCATTAACTCTGAGGAGTAAAGTTTTTTATGTATTAAATTTATTGTATATCAGGATAACCATGCAATTTCTGAGAGGAATGACAGATATTATATCTGAGTCGTTAAGTTCCGAGAGATGGGTAGGAAAAGATGGGCGAAAATTTATATTATTTTCTTTTTCTAATTTTAATAGAACAATAGATAACAATACTGCTATGAGCCGTATTCCTTTGGGCGGGAAATGTCAAAGTTCTAGGCTATGATTGGCTTATGTTAGTGATCTGGATATTCCTAAAATTGGAAGACACCGACCGGGCTTGACGGGCTGTTTCTATTGGCAGAATACTGACATTTATTTTTACCTTAACTAGTGACGAAACAAACTTCCAACTCCGACGAAAGAAGATGCTGCATTACAACCAAAATCACAAGAAACAGCACACATTTTTCCTGTTGTAATCATTACAGATGTTTGAAAAATGTTTGCACAACAATCCCTATTTCCTACTACCTTCAGCGCTGAATACGCTTTTGTGGCGGATTCGGAACTAGCTGGCGTTATTGATAATTTATTGGTATATTGTATGGTGAAGATAATTTTTACAGAAATAGAGAATTTTAGTACACATTATTGCCAGCACTGTTCAACTTCGACAATTGTGGAACAGTGGCAAGTACTAAGGAGGTAAATGAGCATGGTTCGTGATTGCAAACATGTCTAAGTTTAAAATGCAGCAGGCAATATAAATGCCGATAAATGTAATGTAATAAAATATGACAAAAAATAGTGAACATAAGATGGTTTCGTAAAGGCAACATTCATGGTTACCAAATGAACTGATCTAACCTAAAATATCAATAAGCACATAACACCTAGAATGTTAAAAATGGAAACTGTAGGTGAGATATTTCAGGAATTATGTAGTTATCTCCGAATTAAACGCAGAGTAGAAAGCGTGTCTGAATTATTTGCAAAACAAACATCTAATTCAAATCGCGTTGAAATTGCATCACAGCTTTTGAAAGAGCATAATTTGATTGCAACACCTGGCAGATATCTTAGAGGAAATGAGAAATCCTTGACTAGGTCTATTGACCTAAGAAATTCGGGAAACAAAGCATTTCAGAAGAAGGATGATAAAACTGCATTAATGTTATATACACAAAGTATTGCCACTGCTCCATTTCCAAGTATGTCAAAAATATCTAACGAAGAACTAGAGACAGACTTTGCAGAAAATGAGGATGACACATCAGTTGCATTAGCTCTGGCATTAGCAAATAGATCTGCAGTTTTGTTCTCAATGAGTAATTATGAAGCTTGTCTAAGTGATATTAAACAAGCAATGAAATATAATTACCCTAATAAATTATTGTACAAGTTATTTGAAAGACAAGGAAAGTGTTTTCAGGCCTTAGGGAATTTGAAAAGTGCTATGGAGAGTCTGTTTGTAAGTATGATTGTATTAATTATTGATAGAGTAGTTTAAATAATTATAAAATTAATTGCAACGGTAAGGTAATTTGTTTAATTATAAATAGCTGTGTGGACTAATATGAGTAATGCCTTTTATGTTTAGGATGCACGAAAATGGCTTTTTTCAGCCTCAGCTTTGACAGAGGAGAAAAAAGAAACTATTAGATTAGAGATAGAGAATTTTGTGCAGCATTTGGCTAATTCCAAAACAACTGAAATATCACACTCTCTCCAAATTGAGCAACCACTACTGCCAAGCTGCAGCTATGGCAAGAACCATGAAATCCTGTGTGCATCAGATTGTGTGGAACTGAAATTCATACCAGAAATGGGACGCTACATTGTAGCAACAAGAGATATTCGGCCAGGTATCACCAGTCTTTTAGTAGACAGCCCATATTTTAGTTATGAATTTTTGAAAATAGTGATTAAAATGTTAAGATAATTTTTACTGTTTATTTTTATTGGGGGCAGGATCAGTTTATCACATTATACTTTATTAAATTTCTTTTCTGAATTGTGATATTTTTTGTTGTGATACCTTGTAGTCTTTTAGGTCGTTACCAACATTTTGGAGGTTTATTATGAAGATGGAGGTAATACATTCCTCATAAATGTTGGTAGACACCCATAAGAGACTAGTGTCTTAAGCCAGAAGACTGCAGTTAACATTTTTACTGCCATGAAAATAGAAAAATTATATTTAAATATCATTTATCTGTAGGCTTTGAGTATCTTATGTTCTGGTCCATTTGGAATTTTGTTTTATGCTCATGTTCACTATTTGTTGTAGGAGATGTCCTGGTTGTTGAAAAGCCCTTTGCATCAGTGCTTTTGCCTGATTGTTACTGGACACATTGCTACAACTGCCTTCAACCCTCTCAAAGTCTCCTGCCTTGCTATCATTGTTCCACGGTACATATTTGTTTATTTATTTAATAATGCTGTCTGTAGCTCAGACTGTGAGAGAATTACAAGAAGATGATTAATGAATGATGAGTTGGCAGGGAAGTGGAAGAGGTCATGGTCTGATTTAAAGTACTGTCATGTCATTGACTTGGAGAAACTGAGGAAATCCACAACAAGTCTGTCAGGATGATTGGTTTCCAGGCTGAGATTTGAACATGGGACTTTGTGAATATAAAGCAGGAGTGCTAACCATTCACCTGCAGTGATGGTGCATGTTCTGTAATGTTTTTTTATGGAGGAAAGCTTTGAAATGAGTCAAGGCAGGCAGCTTACAGAGTTTTGTAGGTTTCACTCATTTTTTGGAAGAGGTTATATTTTTGGAGTTTTATCACAAAGTCAGCAGTTTTCTATTAAAAAACCAGATTTTACAGAATCTTGAACTTATATCAAGTTTTTGTTTTTTGATGAAGTTAGAAAAGTGCACAAAGAAAACAAGAGAAACCAATTGTGAGATATAAATGTTATTACTCTAGTCTAAATATCACACACAGAGTGAATTTTTACAGTTAGAGTATGTAACTTTAATGAAATTGATTATTAAAAGTACCTAAAAATAATTTTTATGTATCTTCTTACATGTTCTAACATTTTGTGTTTCTCACACAGGTCATGTATTGCAGTGAAAAATGTCGTACATCATCTTGGGATAACAGCCATTATATAGATTGCCCAATGTTGGACATTTTGCAGAAACTGAAAATAGGTAATATGAGTTTCCTGGCACTGAGAATTGTCATATTGGTTTGTAAATGTCAAGACATCCAAAGTCTGATAACATCCTTAGAAGATGAAGGTAAATGCATTGACAGGAACAGGGGTTTTAATAACAATGGCACTTACAGTTCTTCAGATTATAGTGCAATCTATTGGTTGGTAGGAAACACAGAGAAACGAGAAGTTGGTGATTTATTTAGACGAGCTGTCACAGCAGCTTGCATTCTCAACTGTTTGGAGACTATGACAGATTTATTTTCTGTTGATACAAGTTCTTCTCCACCTGACATCACCAATTACAAACTGCTTGTTGGAGGTTTGTTGTTGAGACACCTGCAGAATTTGCCATGCAATGCCCATGAGGTCTCAGGATTGGTTAGATCTGAAACTAGGACTCTCAAGGATGGTGTTCCAGTATGGAAGAGTGTTGAGGTTGGAGCTGCAGCACATGCTGTGCTGAGCTTGTTAAACCACTCGTGTGACCCAAATGTTGTCCGGCACAGCTACCAAGGAGACACAGCTGTGCTTCGAGCAATCCGTCCAATTGCAAAAGGTGAACAGGTGAGAGAACTAATGAACATTAAAATGTATTATATTTGGTGGTGTTCAGTTTTATTCAATTAATGCTGCAAACCATAAAATTTGGTTTAGTGATCAATAAAAATCGAGTTTTGATGATTCTGTGGCACAACTGCCCGAACTGAGCCTTCGCCTCCTCCCGTGTGGGAGGTTTATTTGTCTTTGAAATGTGCATAAAAGAGAAGTGAGTGCCAACCCTGTGACCTACATTATGTATCAAAATAATCAGTCTTTTAAAGGTTAATACATTTATATTTCCTTGCAATAAACTAATTCATTGTTAAATACTTCTAAATAAAAATGCTTAACAGAAAGTAAAACTAAAATTTTTAACATAAAACTTCTTCATTGGCCAGTAAGTCTTAACGAGGGTGAATTTTGTCAGTAGGCCCTTTTACCTAGGAGATGTATTTGGACTTTCATTGCTATTTGTGTTTTAAAGGTATGTCACTTTTTATGAATTAGAAGCCCTCATTTTATTTGGTCGGATATTACCGAGCAGGTTGGCATTGTGTGATTTCTGTTTGAGTTTGAATTTCATTTGAGATATCAGCTGTCTTGACAGGTATTCATTGTGTTCTTCAGTCCACTCATTCTTTCTACTAATTCCTGCCTGCTTGTCATTCATAGTTAACATCCAATTTCATTCAGTACTATGTATGTACGCAGTTGTCACAGCATTATTATATGATCCAAATACTTTGCAACCAATCAAACCTTCTTACTGAGTAGGTGCAGTTTCATAGGTTTTTTAAATGTGTAGGTCCTCGACAACTATGGCTACCACTATGCGCTACATGACCGAACAGAGCGGAAATCTCACCTGGAGACGCAGTATCACTTCACCTGTATGTGTGTTGCGTGTACTGAGGACTGGCCAAGCTACAACTTGCTGCCTAATATAAATCCCATATACTTATGTGCAAGGTATATATCTTTCAAAGATGTGGGCTATGGACAGGAAAGTGCAGTGTTTCATATCCAACTTTATTTTATCCTCTAAGGCTGAAGTTTCTCAATTTCAGTATTATCTTCCATTCTACATCTAGATCTCCCAAGTGGTCTTTTGTGTCCAGAGTAAGCAATCCTCAGAAAGGGATTTTGTTTTAATGTTTGTTACTTGAGTACAGAAAAAATGAATTTTCTGAACAACATTTTATACTTAAACAATTATTATTATGAACCATGAAAGTGCAAGAGAAATTATTAGTCCTGTGATTCTTTTGAAGTTGTTGACCTGTTGTTAGTTATTAAGTTACTTGTTATTTCTTGATCCTAGAAGAATGCCTAGATAGGTGTTTTAGTTATTCATATTTCTGGTCTTATATTAAATATAATAACGTGTTGTATTCTTTTCAGGACTTTAATATATTAGATGTTTTGGTAAATCAAAGGTGAAAAGACAAATACAGAGTTATAATGGCATATTTTATGCTTTCATACTTTGTAGGTGCAGGTGTATTTTGCCAGCACTGCCTGTTGACCCAACAGGAATTAGGTTTACCACCTGTACCAACTGCAGTGAATCCCATGACATGACAGACATTATCAGTAAGATAGAAACGTCTTCTGAAGAATTTTGTCAGAATCTGGAGCACGTTGTTTCAGGAGAAGGTTGCGATTGGGAGGGACTTGCTCAGAAGTTGGTATGTCATCTGCAGTTGCTTGACAAGTTTATTCAGCGACCTTGGAAAGAGTACAATGACTGTCAAGAAGCCATTAAACAATGTTTTGCCATGACAGCCAATTGTTACAAGTAATAGTCATTTCAGTTGTAACTAGGAGAAGCTGTTTCTATAGTATTGCATTATATTTAAGATAGTTATTGTTTACTTATGGTTGAACCTGTCACATCATTTATGCAATGTAGGATGGTTTAAGGATAAGGGGTTAAGCCCCTGCTGTACCAAAAGTTTTCAATTTGATCACAGCTAGATATGGTGCTGATTTTTTCACATTTTCCCCTTCCCTCACCTGTGACAAAGTCAAAATGCTTAGAACTTGGGAACCACAAGTCATCAGCTGACTTGCTTTATAGTTCACTATAGGTCCCCTCCACTTACCGTCATCAACTGAGCTATTGCAGTTTATAAAATCACCTTTCAGTTGTGTTACGCGTATGTGCCCAATTGTGCTTTTTGGTAATTCAGTGCCACACCCCAGCCATGCTTAAACCCAGGAGAATAGACACATGATACCCATTTGATAGGAGGCTGGGTGGGCCTCAGACTCGGTGTTGATGCAGAGGCTAGAAGAAAAATCTTGCACCCCTGCCAAGGATTTAATCAGTTAGCCAGTTTGTAATCAGACACAGCACTGACTGAGCTACCCCAGCTTGTAAGTAATTCTTACCATTTCAGCAGTGTGATACCCAAAAGGCTCTATAATGTGGAAAATCTTTAATTGGGAAAAAGTAATAAATTAATGAACATCAAATGGTGTTTTCACATTACAGTGCAAGGGAGGGTGGAAAATCTTTAATTGGGAAAAAGTAGTAAATTAGTGAACATCAAATGGTGTTTTCACCTTACAGTGCAAGGGAGAGCAATTGGTGCAATATTTATATTTCCATAGATCCATGACAAGTAAATGTTTTATAAGTTGATAATTAAAATGAACATGACAAGATTTATATAACTGCTTTAATACTAAGCAGGATTTGTTACTAATTTATTTATAAAAGTTGCAATTCTTACCACTTTTTATATTGATGTTTTATCAGTTCTTCTATGAGAAAATAATGTCTAGTTATAACTGAGGCAAGCAGTATTGCAGTACATTACATTTTGAATATTATTGTGCGAATTTCTTAAGTTTCCATGCTTTTTTATTTAATTGTGGAACTTATCTTACAAGATGTGTTGTCCTCAGACTCACGGCTGTGAAAACCTTAAAATCGTACAAGATTTATTTGTTTTCTTCCTTAATATGAACTTTTATTCATACAATTGTATTCTTAAATTGAACACCTTTTCTTGTGATGCTTCCATGTTCATATCACAGCATATTTCCTAATTTTTTTTGTTTATCTCTTATTCATTTTGTAATACCCTTCAGAAACTTTATATCTACTTTTTAAATATGTTTATCTTAGTGACACACAAAGAAGTTATAATTTCTATTATAGTACATTGATGTTATTTTATTAGTAAGTGTCTAATATAATCTACTAAAAATTCAAGTCATGGTCTTTGAGAAGCTCTGTCTTACTTCTTTCTTGTTATAATTACTTTTTGAAGTTTTGTTATGTGTTGTATTTTTACAAATTTGTGATATTGTTATTTAGAAGTTTTGAGATGGCTGGTAATAAATCTATTTCTTATTCTCTGATATTGCAGCTCAGTTCGAGCCTTCGCCTCTTCAACCACAGCTCTCCATACATTCCTGTTCAGTTAATAACTCCCTACAACCTGTAGACGTTCTGTCTCTGCAAACTAAATAGATTTCCTGAGCAGTGGTTTTTTGATCAGCTAACAAGAGAGTGCGGGTAAGTTTCAGGTGCCACAAAACTGGACCTTTCAACCAGAAAGTAACCTGACCGAGAAATTATAAGTCCTTGAGAGAAGCAGAGGTTAGGCTCAGGGCTAACAATTCATTCCTGTGTATAATGCATTTCACAACCTCTACCTGATTCCATGGAACATGGCATTTCATGAGAAGATGATGGTTATTCAGCAGGTGAAGGTTTTTATATTTTCAGAAACAAAAGGTTAATTATCACATTTTTTCATAAATGTCTTATTAAACATTCTCCATAGCCATCTCATAGTTTGTTTCCAGGCATTAAAATACACCTAAATCTTTCTTTGAGCTTTTCCAGCCAAAATGTTATGTGAACCAGTTATTTTGAATGAAGTATGTCATTGTTTATCTTAGTTCCTCTAGGTGGATGACAAGGTACTGCCTCAGAATAGGCCTCCTTTTATTTCCACTTCTATGTCAGAACTATTATGCAGTAGGATAGGAATTGTTGTTTTAAGAACACTATTAAAATAAAGCAGCCATTATAGTAAAGTAATATTATTAAAAGTTATTAATTACAAAATTTTCATTTTAAAGTTTACAAGATTTTTATAAAGTATTCATATTAATATAAAATAATGGTTTCCACCATTTCTTAAAAACCAAAACACATTTCAAGTTTCAGGACCAGTATGCATCAGTCCTTGCCCGGTGGTCGCTATTCCACGATGCTTACATTTGTTTTAGACACAATTGAGGTTTGTCTTTCTGGATTTAAAACTGTGGAGCAGAGATCCAGCGCTGGACGGTACTTAATTCTTGGTTTAACTGTTGGTACCTGTGCCGGATCTCTGCCCCACAGTTTTCAGTCCAGAAAGACAAACCCCAATTTGGTCCGAAACAAATGCATGTTCTGCAAAACATTATAATATTTCCAATACATAATTTTGTATATGTCTGGAATTGTCTAGTAACTAAATAAACTGAATGTACAGAGCAGAGTCCTTGAGAAGTTGATAGCCACTTAGCTTGTCAAGAAATTCTCCACTGTTAGGGAACCGAAAGATTCATTACTGTGTTTACAGGAGTCTGCCTCCATGCATTCGTAACCTTAGCACTATGTGGAATGATTGGAAAACATAATGTTCTTGCTGTTTTACTCCTGGTACCCGCTGGATAGGGGCAGATTGGGTCCAAAAGCTGGCCTGGATATGATGTTGAAAAATAATTGCTGTCCGTCCTTCAAATCAGATCTCATTTATTTATCTGTAGCCAGTTACTTTATTGACTGAACATTCATGGCTACTGTAAACATTTTGATAAATGTGAATCTGATCAAATTTCCTCAAACTTGTTTATAGTTGCATGATATGTTGAATATTTTATGCCCATAAGACTCACAACTAAGGCCCAACGGTAGCAAATGAAGTGAATTATCTCCATAACCTTGTCCAGCATTTCTAGAGTCATTACAGCTGATGCAGTTAACATACTAGATGATGTTCTTAGAACTCTCACTTTTCCCTTATATTGCACTTATGGCAGTGACTAGGGAAGCAAGTAAGGGTAGTATGATGAAGGATCTGATTTTTGATGCTGCAGACTTTATATTATTTACAAATTGTGTTCTTCCCTCCACTCCAGGATACACTGGACTTCTTCGAATGAAAAAATCTTTCACCATGTCTATGTCAGTTACATCTAAGGATCAAGAAACAAAATATAAGTATGTACGTCTTTAGTCTCTCATTTTGAGTTTTGTACGCCAGAAAGACAAACCCCAATTTGGTCCAAAACAAATGCATGTTCTGCAAAACATTATAATATTTCCAATACATAATTTTGTATATGTCTGGAATTGTCTAGTAACTAAATAAACTGAATGTACAGAGCAGAGTCCTTGAGAAGTTGATAGTCACTTAGCTTGTCAAGAAATTCTCCACTGTTAGGGAACCGAAAGATTCATTACTGTGTTTACAGGAGTCTGCCTCCATGCATTCGTAACCTTAGCACTATGTGGAATGATTGGAAAACATAATGTTCTTGCTGTTTTACTCCTGGTACCCGCTGGATAGGGGCAGATTGGGTCCAAAAGCTGGCCTGGATATGATGTTGAAAAATAATTGCTGTCCGTCCTTCAAATCAGATCTCATTTATTTATCTGTAGCCAGTTACTTTATTGACTGAACATTCATGGCTACTGTAAACATTTTGATAAATGTGAATCTGATCAAATTTCCTCAAACTTGTTTATAGTTGCATGATATGTTGAATATTTTATGCCCATAAGACTCACAACTAAAGCCCAACGGTAGCAAATGAAGTGAATTATCTCCATAACCTTGTCCAGCATTTCTAGAGTCATTACAGCTGATGCAGTTAACATACTAGATGATGTTCTTAGAACTCTCACTTTTCCCTTATATTGCACTTATGGCAGTGACTAGGGAAGCAAGTAAGGGTAGTATTATGAAGGATCTGATTTTTGATGCTGCAGACTTTATATTATTTACAAATTGTGTTCTTCCCTCCACTCCAGGATACACTGGACTTCTTCGAATGAAAAAATCTTTCACCATGTCTATGTCAGTTACATCTAAGGATCAAGAAACAAAATATAAGTATGTATGTCTTTTTCTCTCATTTTGAGTTTTGTACGTTTTAAAAATAGTTTTAATGGATTTGATTGTTTAAAGAAGTATAAACATAAAGAAACCTTCAATAATGAATTCATGACATGAGGCAACAACTGACTAAATGACTTCTATGGTGCAGTGTCTGTCTTGAAAAGTAGTATAATTACTCAGCTTGTGAAGAAATTCCCCACTTATGGTACAAGGAGGTTCATTACTGTTTTCTCAGAATCCTGCTAGTGGATTTAATACCCTGAGTTCTGTAAGATCCATTTTATTATTATCCTTCCATATATGTCTGGTCTTCCCAAGTTGTTTCTTCTCTTGAAACTGACTAACATTTTATATCCATAGTTTTCCTCCTACCACCTCATCCTTCTTGATTTAATCATTCTAATATCAGGACAACAGACTTAAGTCGTAATACTCCTTACTATGCTGTTCTCTCTATCATATTACCATCCCTTTCTTAGGTCTAATTGTTCTTTTCAGGATTTTTCTCAAACTCCTTTAACACTCATATAACATAACAAATAATGCAGAGGAACACATAACCTTTGTCTACAGGTCAGGAGTGTTGTGGACTTCTGCTGAACTGGCATTTCATTACTGTGTTTACAGGAGTCTGCCTCCATGCATTCGTAACCTTAGCACTATGTGGAATGATTGGAAAACATAATGTTCTTGCTGTTTTACTCCTGGTACCCGCTGGATAGGGGCAGATTGGGTCCAAAAGCTGGCCTGGATATGATGTTGAAAAATAATTGCTGTCCGTCCTTCAAATCAGATCTCATTTATTTATCTGTAGCCAGTTACTTTATTGACTGAACATTCATGGCTACTGTAAACATTTTGATAAATGTGAATCTGATCAAATTTCCTCAAACTTGTTTATAGTTGCATGATATGTTGAATATTTTATGCCCATAAGACTCACAACTAAGGCCCAACGGTAGCAAATGAAGTGAATTATCTCCATAACCTTGTCCAGCATTTCTAGAGTCATTACAGCTGATGCAGTTAACATACTAGATGATGTTCTTAGAACTCTCACTTTTCCCTTATATTGCACTTATGGCAGTGACTAGGGAAGCAAGTAAGGGTAGTATTATGAAGGATCTGATTTTTGATGCTGCAGACTTTATATTATTTACAAATTGTGTTCTTCCCTCCACTCCAGGATACACTGGACTTCTTCGAATGAAAAAATCTTTCACCATGTCTATGTCAGTTACATCTAAGGATCAAGAAACAAAATATAAGTATGTATGTCTTTTTCTCTCATTTTGAGTTTTGTACATTTTAAAAATAGTTTTAATGGATTTGATTGTTTAAAGAAGTATAAACATAAAGAAACCTTCAATAATGAATTCATGACATGAGGCAACAACTGACTAAATGACTTCTATGGTGCAGTGTCTGTCTTGAAAAGTAGTATAATTACTCAGCTTGTGAAGAAATTCCCCACTTATGGTACAAGGAGGTTCATTACTGTTTTCTCAGAATCCTGCTAGTGGATTTAATACCCTGAGTCAGTTCAGTTCTGTAAGATCCATTTTATTATTATCCTTCCATATATGTCTGGTCTTCCCAAGTTGTTTCTTCTCTTGAAACTGACTAACATTTTATATCCATAGTTTTCCTCCTACCACCTCATCCTTCTTGATTTAATCATTCTAATATCAGGACAACAGACTTAAGTCGTAATACTCCTTACTATGCTGTTCTCTCTATCATATTACCATCCCTTTCTTAGGTCTAATTGTTCTTTTCAGGATTTTTCTCAAACTCCTGTAACACTCATATAAGATAACAAATAATGCAGAGGAACACATAACCTTTGTCTACAGGTCAGGAGTGTTGTAGACTTCTGCTGAACTGGCATAAAATGGACCAAAATCTGCTTAGAAAATTATAAGTAAATAACAATATCGGAGATGTGTCCTCTTTTGAGTACACTGACAATCCAAAGGCTTTCTTTATGCCACATCATGCAGGTCATTGTGATTTGAGGTCACTGTTTTGTAGGCCATTCTTGCACTATCAAAATGAATTATAAAACCAATAAAGCAAATCAACAAACACTGGTAGCTGTCTGAAACAGTACTAAATGTATCGTGTTTGTGAAAAATTATTTCATTGTGTTAAGAATTTGAGGATTCTAAGAGAAAAAGTTAGTTAAGCAAGTGAACGTGTGAAGATGGAGTCCACTGTATATTCTAATCTGTATGTTTTTAGATGGGAGACAGGCACATAAAATATTCTGAACTGAATGGTTTGTCATGAATGTAATTTTAATTTGGTACTGCTGTTCCATATTACTTGTATTTTACCGCAATTGAAACTGTATCCAGAAACTGCAGTGTCCTATAAATTAAATGTGTTGTGAACATACCCATAACTTGTTGCCTTCTATAGTTATTCTTCAGCATCGTAAAGCCATCTCCACCACTGGCAAGAAAAACTGTCATGATAACATTATAAGATCTTTTTGGA